TCTTGCTAATACTTTGGTCTCTTTGCACTAGAAAAATCGTAACCTTTTGAGGGAAGATTGACTGATGGGTCTGAACCAAGTGTTATTCACGGTGGTCGCCAAATCCATCTTCGTCTTATTCAAGACATTTTGCGAACAAATTCACATGAACCCATTGATTCGAACTCAAAGGAGGGTCCTATTTCAATGCTGTTTAGGTTGAACCGGAAAGAATTGAGAGCCAACCCAATTATTCTGTCTCACGCTTTGAGTTCTTATGGGTGTCCAAACACTGTCTTTTTTGAAATTCAAGTTCATTGTTTGGCAATTAAAACTGGGGTTTTCACCAATGTTCTATATTGGGAGTTCTTTGATCAGTTTTTACAGCAAATGCAACGAGTTAGGCAATGCATATCAAGTGTTCGACGAAATACCTAGGAGAAATGTAGTCTCATGGACAACAATGATTACTAGGTTTGCACAAGAGTGGAAGATTGATTTGTGTTTGGAACTCTACCATCGAATGAGAAATTCAATTGCAAAACGGAATGAGTTTATGCTAACTAGCCTTTTGTGTGCTTGCACACGCAGTGGGTGTCTTGGACATGGAAGAATTGCTCATGTATATATATATATATATACTAGCGGTTACCACACGCGATACGTATGTAATTCAAATAAATATAAATAAAATAAAATATTTATCATATATTGTGTGCTAGTTAAGTGGTAAGAGTCTTATTCATTTGACATAAGTCTAAGGTTCAAGTCTCATCCACTCATCTATCTAATTTTTTTTTTTAATTTTAAATAAAAAAAAAGTGGACACGTGACAACATAAGAAACAAAGCTTCAGGACACCATAATAGGTGTTCATTTTATAATAGTACTAGTGGGTGGCACACACGATGTGTGTGCAATTTAAATAAGTAGGAATAAAAACAAATAATAATGAAATTAATATTATAATGTGTATTTAGCTTAAGTGGTATGAGTTCTCGTACTTAAACCCATGGTCATGGGTTCAAGCCTTGCCCATCTCTTTGTTTAACTTTTTTTTAAAAAATAAAAAATACTGCCACATGGCATGAGGAGAGTAAAGCTTCAGGACACCATAAGAGTTATGTGTTCACTTTATAATAGTATAGATAGATAGATAGAAGAATAGAATAGTATAGATTGATAGATAGATAGAAGACATAAGAAACAAAACTTCAGGACACCATAATAGGTGTTCATTTTATAATAGTATAGATTGATAGATAGATAGAAGATAGATAGATAGATATATCTCAATTAAATAGATTTAAAAATTAATTGAATTGAATTAGTTTATTTGGATTTATTAAATCTAAATCAATGGGTTTCATTATTACGTGTGATTATTTGTTCTTAAAAAATGTGTATAGAGAATTATTTCATATAACATTAAGAATGTTGCTAGATGTCTGTTATAGTCATTTTTGTTTAGGATATAATTATCATTAAATTAATATTTCATTAAGAGTATACCCGGAACTAATTAAATGTGTGAAAATAAAATTTTCCAAATTCTATCTCATCCCCCAATCACCACCTCCAGCAGCTAGTCACAGCCACAACTGCCATCTCCAACTGCAACATCCAGACCCACCCCACCGGCAACTACCTCTGGCGACCTCCCGCACACCACCACCTCCGACCACCTCCCTTGTCTTCTTCTTTTTCTTCCCATAGCAGACAAACTAATCAAAAGTGAGATGGAACTCATCAAACCCAGATGGAACAATAATTCAAATTTCACCAAAATAATATATCAAAATCTAAGAAAATAAATTAATAATAGCACTTGATTAGAGTTTTGTATATATAACAAAATATGTTATATATGCAAGACTATGTCACTCTCTTAATCCGTCTGCAGATCTCTCTACTTTGTAAGATATGTGAAATCAAGAAAATGAAACAAGTTTTAATGCAGAATATGGAAAAAATCTTGATGAGTTCTCTGTCTCTCTCTTTTCAATTTATTACATATAATATATATACATATATAAATATAGATGTATTTGTATTAGCAACCCAGTTATGGATAACTTTGGAAGCAATCGAAAGATGTTCTCTTTCAGGGCCTTGTTTCAAGTGATGGAGAAGGGTGGGGGGTAGTAAGGTGAGACGGAGATGGACTGGGTGCCAGCGACTGACGGTGTGAGGCTAGGCGGCTACAACTAGCATGAGAGGCTTGTCAGTAGCAAAAGGGGAGCAGCAGTGGTGGGCCAGTAGAAATGGTGCTGATGTAGGGTAATGGAAAATTAGGGTTTTCAAATTCTAAGATAAAAGGACATTTTAATAATTTTATATAAGGATTAAAATGTAATAAAAAATTTAAAATTGATGGGTGAAATGAGTTGAAAGAGTACTATTATTAGTACCCTATCAATTATTTTGGACCCTCTATTTTAAGATTTTTTATTACAATAATAACTTTAAGTGAAATTACTAAAAGGGACAGCAATAATTTTGAGACATCTTATCTCACAATTAAACTCACGTACCCACTACATCATAAGTTAGAGTTTATGAGAACACTCACATCCATCAACACCCATCCATCTTTTTCAAATCACACCCTTAAAACCTTGAAACTCTTTGACGGTAATATTCCGGTGGCAATGTGGCAACCATTTGATTGGATACACTTCTCCGGCAATGATAATAGTAGAAGTTTTTCTAACAACCATAATTTCGTGAGATGAGAGTAGTACAACAATAAAAGCTCAAAAGAGGTTCATAACTTTGATGGTATTCTTAGCTTAGAGAATATTGGCCTTGTAAGGGTAAGTTTCTTTAAAAAAAAAAAAAATAACAAAAATTGTTCGTCATTTTTTCGGGACTAAACTCCCAAACATATGACTGAAATTTCAGGAACACAAGCCCGAACATTGTTTATTTGTTTAGAAACAAGTAACCGAACATTTCTTATTTATTTGGGAACAGATAACCGAAGCAGCAGTAGAAATAGGCAAACAAAGGAGGTTGGACCACCCTTGGGTAGTCGATCGGCCGGTCAACCGATGGGTGAAATTCTACCCAATTTTGTTCACACAGAGAGCATACAAGTACAGTGAGGTCATGGATGAATGACAGAAAACCAATTAGAGAAACGTGAAAGTGGATTGTGTTGTGTGTAAAAAGAGATAATAAAAAAAATCAAACAGATTGACAAATCTCGTAATGAAATAGAGAAAAAAATTTTAATCACCACAAATTTTTTCCATTGACTTTGAGAGGTTCTACTGTCGTAGGTTTTGTTAGAGTTTTGGGAGAGAAACTTTTTAGAGTGTGGGGGGGTATGGGGATGTGTATTTGAATGGGTAAAATGTTTTTACAATGATATGTTTGGTATTATTTGGGAGGAGAAAAGAAATTTTAAGGGTTTTTCAATTCATAAGTGTGGGTCTAAAATAATTGATGAGGTACTAATAGGAGTACTTAAGTTGAAACAATGATGTAAGTAGAATTACCCTTTTCTTTAATACTAATTTGGGTAAATTACTAATAAGCCCTACTTTTGGGATTTATTAACCATTAAGTCCTATTGATAAATTTATCACTGTTTTTTTTTTTATGAATAAATTTATAGTGATAAATTTATCAGTCAAAACCTATAAGTAAATAAATTTAATTAATAGAACTGATTAGTAAGTATCCTAAAAATTTATCACTGCATATCTATTAAATAATGGGTACTCATGAATTAGGTTGGATCAGTGGGGATTTCCATTTACTACCTGCCCAACTGATTTCCATTCACTATCTGCCCAAACTTAAAAGGATTGGAAAATATATGAAAAATGAGTAGGAGCGCTAATTAGTGCTCCCACTAATGATGTGGTAGTAGGTCCCACCATGAATGATTTGATGTTTTGACCTTGGTGTTGTATTTTTTTTCTTTTTTTATTGAGTGCCATGTCATTAATGGTCTTTTTAGAGCTCTAAAATTAGTGGTCTTTTTAGAGTTCTAAAATTAGTGGTCTCTATCATTGTTGAAAATATATATGCATCCATCTGTTTGGACCATCAATGTTCATTGTATGGTGGATCGGTTCGGACTATTTGATATTGATGAATTATGCTTTCATTTAGAATGTGAGTTGATTTTTTAGTTATTTTCACCTAAGGTTAAAAAATCTCGTTTAGTATGAATATTTTTTACTTTTTTGACTTTGTGAGAGAAAAAATAAAATGATTATAATTTAGATGTGACATTTTATCTTATTGAACTAAAAAATCTATTTTTTCTTTATAGCTCCAAGTCCACCCAAACCTTCTTGCCAAACGAATCCTAAATGGATCCGTATACAACCCTAATAAATTATATGCGTTAAATGGGAAATATTATAGTGCACACGTGTGCACCATATCTTAAAATTAAAAAAAAATTAATTTTCTAAATTATAACTAAATATATATATATATATATATCATAAGGTATAATTAAAAAATTCATAAATCATAATTAAAATAATTTCATAATAATAATAAAAAAAATTAATGTTATATGCATCAATTAGTGTACTAACTAGTGAACTAATTGATAATGTGTCATAATTTAAGATATTTTTGGTATTTGTTATTTGTATAATAAGTAAGATCAATAATAATGTCATAACTAATGTTGATACACTAATTAGTATATTAATTGATAGATATAATACCATTCAAAAAAAATAGCATAACAAGAGTGCATATGATACACTATTACACTATTTTTAAATTAGTGTATAATAAAATTTCCCCACATTTACAATCAGATCATTGATCAATGGCTCTAAAAGGCAGTTTTTTTTTTTATTTTTCTTTCATGTGCCAAACTTCTTTATCACACAATCATAAAAAAAGAGAGAGGACCATTGATACATTCGGATAGAGAATTCAATGTATTGTAATTTGTAAATCACAACACACAAATCTCAAATTTAGGCCTGATTTGAGGTACTCTAAAAAAATAAAAAATTCACGATTTTATTTAAATTATATCATTTTATTTAAATTATATCATCTCTTTATTATATTATTTCAAATTCAATCTATACTAAACACATATTTCACAAAAAAAATTAAAAAATACACTAATTTACATCACCCAAAACCACCCCATAATATTAATCCAAAGACTTTTCTGGCCGCTATTAATCCAAAGACTTGTTACAAAGTTGACATGGACCCTACAACATTGCTGACGAAACCATTGACATCATCATAAAAATCTTGGGCCTTTTGAGGTTCGAAGATCTCGGCACCATGGAACCCATCTTCATCCACCTTCATCACCACCTGCACCCCACGTGCCTCCAACATCTTCACAAACTGCTTCTGCCGATCCAACAGTGGGTCCCCACCATGCCCTGTCACCAAACTCCTCGGCAACCGTCCGATCTTCTCATCCTCACCCGTCGGATTGCAGTATTCATGATCACGATCTGCACCCTCAGGCAAAGCCAGGGCCCACAACAGATCGTTAACAGGCAACGGTACGATCCGATCATTCAAAAACCTGATCTGTGATTCTGTCCTATCGACCCCACCGAAAAACGGCTGGTTCAGTATCAGCCCTACGATCTTCACAGGAGACAGATCCAGATCCAGTACACGTAGACCCGCGAAGTAGGCTATATTTGCCCCTGAACTACTCCCCGATATAAAACACTTGGAAAAATCAGCAAAATCTCTCATCCATTCATCACAGCCGTTGATTCCCAATGCTTGGTCCCGGACCCACGTAATCGCGTCGACGGCGTCATCGTACGCCGCAGGGAGGCGGTGTTCTGGTGCGAGACGGTATTCGACGGACAGGATTAGAGCTGGGGTTTGATCGGCCATGGAGGCGCCTGATTGGTGAAAGGGTTGAGATGTAGCGCTGAGGAGGACGAATCCGCCGGCGTGGAAGTAAATGATGAGGGGGAGTTTGGTGGCGGGAGGAGGGTGGAGGGGGCGGAAGAGGCGGAGGAAAGTGGAGGTGGCGGCGTTGAGAGGAATGTCTTTGGAGAGGGCGGTGGTGGTTGTGGTGGTGGTGGGATTGGGGGTTGGGGGAGCAGTGGGCATTGGGTTGAGGCGGGTGAGTGAACCGTCTGGGTTGAGGATGATTTTGAGGAACTTGTATGGATCCATGGAAGCTGTAGGAGTGGACTCTTGGTCAGCCATGGCTGTTTGTTTAGTGAGAGTGTGTGTATGTCTAGAGAGATAATTTATAGGATTTTTATGTTTGAGGCTGTACGGCATATCTTATCATTTGATAATAAAAAAAATTACATAAATAATTAAAATTTAAAAAAAAAATTATAATAAGTGTGTTTAATTTCAAATTTTTGAATTAAATTTTTTAAAAATTAATTTTTTTATTTTTCTTACCAAATATTTTTAAAATTTTAAATAATATTTTTATTTTTATAGATATATTTTACTTTGATGTATTTAAATAGTAAAATATTTTGTGAAAAAAAATATTTGAAAAAATTAATAAATTCACAAAAATACAAAAAAAAAATTACAAGAATTTTCAATTTTTTTTATATTTTTTGTATTTAGTAAAAAATATTCAAAAATCACAAATATTATATTTTTAAAATATATTTATGTTAGATGTGTTTAAAAAATTTAAAAATTATTTAAAATATTAAAAAAATTCAATTCAATTGGGTTCAATACAAAGATCGATCGATTCTAAAAGGTGAGTCGATTGAAGCTAAAGATCAATACAAAGATCAATTCTGATATGAGGTGTAAATTGATTCTGGTATGAGGCAGCACAAGGATTGATTCGGATTGAAGCTGAACATCAATAGAAGCTGAAGATGATTTTATTCAGCTGAAGATAATCGAAGCTGAAGATGATTCTAGAGGTGGGCGTGGGTCGGTTGTGGCCACGGAACCTCCAATTTGCCATCCGTCTGCCAAATTAGCGAATTGGAGAAAATCAATCCGCATTCATCCGCCAATCCGGCGGATGTGGATTGAGTGGATTGGCAGTTTGACGGATGGATGCGAATCGGTTTGGCCGTCTAAGATTTTATAAATTTTCAACATAATTCAATTTGTGCACTTCCTCAAAAAAAAAAAAAAAAGTATTACAGTCAATGACTTAAATTTACAATCACTGTATGTCTCATCCAAAAAAAGAAAGTTTAAAACTTTAGAATATCACAATCACTGCACGGCTCATTCACATATTATAATCAAAGCATGATTCATTCACATATTACAATCACAGTATGATTCATCCACATAAAATATTACAATTTGTGGTTCTTAAAATATAATAACAATTCAAACCACCAAAACCATGAACAGGGCAGTAGTAGAGATTGTATATCTCTGTATTGTTACATCTATATATGTTTTTGAAAACAAAAACCAACCAGCATGTATCATATTTTCTATTTATTATTTTTAGAATTAAATTTAAAAACCAAAAAATATAGATAAATAATACGTTTATTTTTTTTCAATTCAAAAAATATATTCAAGTTGAAAACTTTTTTTCAACAGAATATTTAAACTATTTTTCAATTTGAAAACACAAACAAAATATTTAAACAAATTAAAAACATAAAGTCTTATAAATTATTAGGGGTGCTTGCGGTTTGACGGTTCGGTTACGACCAAAGGAATCTCAAATCCGCCATCCATTCGCCAAATTAGCGGATTGAAAAAAATCAATCTGCAACCGTCCGCTCGTCATCACGCGTCCATCCAAAATGCGGCGGATCGGTTCGGTTCGGTCGATTTTGGCGGATCGATATATCCGCTGCTCACCCTTAGATGATTCTACCAATCGCGTAATTGAAGCACGCAAGAGGATGATTTTATATGGTCTATTCAACCTTTAGCAACCAAATAAATTACCTACCTCACATACGCGGGTCAAGTGTTCAAATGAACGTAAGTGTTAATTTTTTTGGTCCCTAAAAGTCTTCAAATAATTTTTTTGGACCAATCATAAAGGAATATGATATGTTTGAATAATTTTCTCTTAATTTTTTTTTTTTTTTTTTGTCCCTAAATGATAGTTTTTAGAGACTAAATTCAATTAGTCTCTAATATTAATTTTTAAATCACTAATTTCTTATAGTGAAAAGGCAGAATTTTCTTTTATATTTTTCTTTCGCGTTCCAAACACAAACTCCTTTATCACGCAATCATAAGAAAAGAGAGAGGCTGACCAATGATACATTCGGTTCAGATAGAGAATTCAATGTATTGTAATTTGTAAATCACAACACACAAATCTCAAATATTAATCAAAAGACTTTTTTTAGCCACTATTAATCCAAAGAATGGTTACAAAGTTGACTTGGACCCGACCACATTGCTGACGAAACCCTTGACAGCATCATAAAAATCTTGAGCCTTTTGAGGGTCAAAGATCTCCACACCATGGAACCCATCTTCATCCAACTTCATCACCACCTGCACCCCACGTGCCTCCAACATCTTTACAAACTGCTTCTGCCGATCCAACAGTGGGTCCCCACCATACCCTCTCACCAAACTCCTTGGCAACTGTCCGATCTTCTCATCCTCACCCGTCGGATTGCAGTATTCATGATCACGATCTGCACCCTCAGGCAAAGCCAGGGCCCACAACAGATCGTTAGCAGGCAACGGTACGATCCGATCATTCATAAACCTGATCTGTGATTCTGTCCTCTCGACCCCACCGAAAAACGGCTGGTTCAGTATCAGTCCTACGATCTTCACAGGAGACAGATCCAGATCCAGTACACGTAGACCCGCGAAGTAGGCTATATTTGCCCCTGAACTACTCCCCGATAAAAAACACTTGGAAAAATCAGCGAAATCTCTCATCCATTCATCACAGCCGTTGATTCCCAATGCTTGGTCCCGGACCCACGTAATCGCGTCGACGGCGTCATCGTACGCGGCAGGGAGGCGGTGTTCGGGTGCGAGACGGTATTCGACGGACAGGATTAGAGCTGGGGTTTGATCGGAAATGGAGGCGCATGATTGGTGAAAGGGGTGAGATGTAGCGCTGAGGAGGACGAATCCGCCGCCGTGGAAGTCAATGATGAGGGGGAGTTTGGTGGCGGGAGGAGGGTGGAGGGGGCGGAAGATGCGGAGGAAGGTGGAGGTGGCGGCGTTGAGAGGAATGTCTTTGGAGAGGGCGGTGGTGGTTGTGGTGGTGGTGGGATTGGGGGTTGGGGGAGCAGTGGGCATTGGGTTGAGGCGGGTGAGTGAACCGTCTGGGTTGAGGATGATTTTGAGGAACTTGTATGGATCCATGGAAGGTGTAGGAGTGGACTCTTGATCAGCCATGGTTGTTTGTTTAGTGAGAGAGAGTGTATGCCTAGAGAGAATTTATAGGATTTTATGTTTTAGGCTGTACGGCTTGTGTTATAATTTAAAAAAAAAAAATTTTGATTTGATTTTATATTTTATGAATCATAATTAAAAAAATTTTAAAAAAAAAAGTTAATACTCCCTCCGTCCTAAAATATTAGTCCCTTATTCCATTTTTCATTGTCTCAAAATATTAGTCCTTCTTTATAAATCAAGTACAAAATAATGTAAATTTCTTATTTTGCCCTTCTTTTAAATTAATAAACAATTTAAAAAGTACAATTATGACATTGATATTCCCAAAAAATGTACTATCAAAAGGGTAATTTTGGAAAATCAACTTTTTTCAAATCCAATAAGTGTACTACTAAAAAAAGTTGGATTCCCCAAAAGGGACCAATATTTTGGGACGGAGGGAGTAGTAAATGTGTTTAGTTTTAGTTTTTTAGAAGTTGACTTTTTTTATTTTTAATGAATATTTTTAAAATTTTAAGTAACTTTTTTTTATGCATCTTACTTAAATGTATTTAAATAATAAAATATTTGTGAAAAAATATTTTAAAAATTAATAAATACACAAAAATATAAAAAATATACTTATTATTTATTTTTTTTTGTATTTTTAGTATTTATTGAATGTTTTAAAAAAATCATAAATATTATACTTTTTAAGTGTATTTATGTTAGGTGTATTTAAAAATTAAAAAAATTACTTAAAATATTTTAAAAAATCAGTAAAAATTAAATAATACGAAAAACTAAAAAACGTAATGTTTTAAAAAGTAAATTCTAAAAATTGAAACCAAACAGAATGGATCAAACCTCTGATTACATGAATCCCATTAGAAGAAGAGAGAATAGAAATTAAAAGTATTCTGTCTCAACTTTTCAATATTTAGTTCTTTTAATTTATTTAAGTTATTTTAATTTCATAAATTATATATCGACACAAATTATGAAAACATTATATATATATATATATATATATATAATAGAAAAAAGATTATTTACAAATGACTCTAATATCACTTTACTCCCTCAACTATGCATAGGGTTGTTTTAAAAAGTTAGTTAAAAATTAATTTTTTAATTTTTTATAAAAAATGTGTAAAAAAATTAAAAAAAGTAATATGACTCAAAATAGGTTTAAAAATACTTGGGTAATTTAGTGATATATTATTCCAAATAAAAACACTGGTCTCCCATAATTTTAAAATGTCACTCTTACTCTCTTTTAGATGAATATTTGTATGTAAATATTGTTTTGTGAATATTTTTTAATTAAGAAATTAAGTTTTTTTTTTTGTATAAAATGTTTACTTATAAATTATTTTCCCAACTAAAGTAGATTTATGAGTATCTTCTTTGAACAATAGCATATTAGATTTTGAATAATATCATATGCATCAATTGATATATCAATTAATATATTAATAGATAATATGACATAATAATTTTAGATGTTTTAAGTCTTTCTAATTTATATAATGGGTGGAGTCATAATTTTAAAGGTAAATTACATATACACCCCCTGAGATTTTATTAAAATACGAATCGCCCACAACTCCTTGTGGTTCCAAAAATTACATTTCATTTCTAATTTCATAACAAATCGTCCCTTTTATTAATGAATCATCAAGTCAATTAACAGTTTTTAATGATATTAGAAATATGCTTTAATTAATAATTTAAAAAAATTATTATTATATAGGAGAGCAATTGTGAATTTCATTTTTTTAGTTAATTTTGTTAAATAAAAAATTCTAACAATTGAGTATTTGTAATTTTTCAAACCACGGAGAAACAATCTGTATTTTAAGTAAAATTCAAAGAGTGTATTTGTAATTGAAAAATCTAGAAATCCCCTAGGTATTGATTTGTGATTATGTAACAATTTTAAGCAGTATATAACAATCCCA